GTACGATTTTATTATTGTTCCCATTGAAAATCAATCGAAATTTTTCCTATGTAAATATTAATGGAATTTTATTGTAAATGGAAACCATTATTTTTCCATTTATGCCGAATGGTTTTGAATGGAATTGACAAATTTTCCATTGATTCCCATTGAACTTCAATGGAAATTTTTCCTACGGGGAGCAGCCGTGTCAGAAAATGAAAATATTTCTGCATTATTGTGCGAACCATTTTACGTTTGCTAACTTTCAACACTGCACAAGTGAATCAAGAATGTATTAAACAAATAAAATAAACAGCTGTCACGGAACACCTACACGTTGATTGCACAATGCAAATTTTAACTAACGCATTTCCTTGCAAGGAAAAGGTGTAGATTATCAATTCGAATTGTAGCAAAAGCTTTTACTTCTACCTGTTGCTTCTGCCTTTTACTTGAATGTAAATGCTTTATTTTTATAAATACGGACTAATATCTTCTTTACTTTAATGGGATGCCATTATTAGGCATACACACTATTAAAGACATATATATTAAAATGTAAAAACGAATTGTTTACCGAGCGTAAAATAGACTATGTTGTAAATTATTTGTTTTTTATATAGGTGTCTTTGTATTATATAGGTGCTATTTTCTTGTTATTATATAGATAATAATAATTACAGAAGAGATAAAACCCCTAAAGGAACGGTCGTTTTTTTGTTTTTGTTGTTTCTTGTATTTTTACATTTCAAGTTGATTAAAAATGTTAATAGGCTGCATCCTCGTTGCAATTTTCTGTCGAAGCTTTTATGAAACACATTCAAATGTAGACGATATGTAAAATTTTTGAAAATCCAAAATTAAAAATTCTATGTGACGAAATCGAGATAGATGTGTAATGAAAATGTAATTAAAAAAAAAGATTCTGATTATATTTACTAGAAAACGTAAGGTTAAATTCCGAAACATATTAAATATCATTGTTATAAAGCTTTAGACAAACTTGAGAAGCAGAAGCCCCTCATATAACGTTAGCGTGAATCCCTCACAATATTCAAAAGATCTAAATTCCTAAATTCCCCTTGTTTACGCAGTTTGTGAAAATATTCAAGGCTTGCTGCAAAAATTTTAAATAACTTGAAATAAATTCAATATGATTGGAAAGACAAATAGAAAAGTACTCGAAAATAAACAATGTACATAATGAAGACGTTAAAAGCGTGTTTTGATAGATTCTTCAAATACCGAAATTTAATAATTTATATAACCTACTTTATGGAGAATTGTGTAAATGGTTTAATATGACAAAAGATTAAAGTGTATTATTATTGTCGTAAAGAAGAAACGATAGCAAAATAGCTTTAAATAAAATAGTAGCGGTATTGACAAATCAGTATTGTATGAAAATAAATAATAGTAAAACAAAAATACTGGTATGCAAGGGAAGAAAAAGTAAGGAAAGAGCGAATGTAAAGATAGATAGTAGACAAAACATTAAAAAAAAAAGTCAGATAACTCAGGGTGGAAGGAGCGGTTGAGATATAAAACAGGTAGCACACGGTCGAGTCGCCTTCAACAAAACGAAGTCACTTAATTTAGAAATTCTGAAAAGATTGTTAAAGGTGTATGTTTGGATCGCGGCACTGTAAGGGTGCGAAACATGGACGGTGGGAACGGCGGAAAAGAAAATGTTAAAAGCGTTCGAATTGTGGTGTTACCGGGGAATCGCGAGGATACCGTAGATAGAGAAGGTTAAAAATGAAGAGGTGTTAGAAGGAATAAGAGAACAGAGGGCTCTATGAAAATCAATAAAAAATAGGCGAGATAGGTTGGTAGGACGCCTTCTCAGGCGGATGATCTAGTCAGAAACATATTAGAGGCAGAAACAGGAGTTAATAATTAAGATTGTGGAATGTTCTAGTTTTAGATTAGCCCAGGATAGAAAGGAGTGGAGATGCGTGTCCAACCAATCTTAGGACTGACGACCTTATGATGATAATGATGATATATATAAATAAATAAAAATAGATATGTATGTCTGTCGATTGCGATTTTAAAGCACAATAACCAGCCAGCGCAGACTGCCAATGTTTGTATAATGTGGTGGTATCCTCGAGTTGTTGTATTTCTGTATGTATGGGAGATGTGACTGTTAAAAGTAATTGACCTAGGACATTTTCATACTTCGACCAATGTGTCCTAAAATATGTTTGGAGTTTCCTATAATGTTCGAAATTTCTCCAATTTGCAGTGAATTGCAGCGGAAGAATCGAGAACGTTCTGGAATGTTTGAGAGCCATGCTGTTTGAGAGGTAAAGATAGGCTTTGATACTAAATTATAACAAAAGTGTCCTAATAAATGTGTGGAATCTCTCGTAATATTCGAGATTTCTATAGTCTGATGTGCGTTTGAGTTTGCTAATCGACAATAGCAGGCTGTTGTATGTAGAGAAATACCAGAGTTAAAGACAGGTTCAAATTTGGGTCATTAGCGGGAAACCAAGCATTGCTGGATCAATGTTCGGCCAATGTTTAGGTACCAAGGTTAGACACAATGACGTTTCGCCAAGTTATGTCCAATATTGGGAAACGAAATATTGGCTAACCAATTCTGTACCGAATTTGAACCAATAAGTTACAAATACCGAGGTTATGCAACTACACAATGAATAATATTCAATAAAACATGATTTTCCTAAGAATAAACTTTATAAAATATAATTATTGTTTATTATTTACATTAAAAATACAGAATAACTAGAGTAAAATAATTTTTAATAAAAGAGAATTGTATTTTAAAAGATAAAATAAAAGTGAAGTGTTTCATTACTCAACTTCATCAATAGACTACTACTGTCATTAAAATTATTAGTTTGGAAAAAAATAGCGTCGCAGAAAGTTTCAAATATGGTTATTTTAAACACAATTAAGATTAACAGTGCCTGTAACATTTGACGTAACATTGGTTGGTCAATCGGATTAATTTTGTCCATTGGTCTTACCACCAGCTGCCCCGTCGTGAACTAAGTTTGTCAACCGGGATTGGATTGAATTAACAAATGAGACATTTACAACGCTTATGATTAGTCCAACATTGAACAGTCTTGGGCCAAGCCCTGACCAAGCTTGATCCTGTTCTGACTTCCTATATGGGTAGATAGTATATAAATAAAACTTTCATCATATAAATAAAGTACCTACTTAACCAACTTAAGAAAAAACTAAACAAAATTCAATCTTTGTACGATTTTATTATTGAAAGAAGAATCAAGAATTACTACTAAACCGATAACATTATGTGAGTACATAAAATGTTATTGTGTTAAAATGCTCATTTTTATGTAATCCTTACTATGAAAAAATTAACG